GAGCAGGAGCCCATGGCGCTCATCGACCCCGTCACCGGACTGCTCATTCCCATGCGCGAATCAGAGGAGGGCCAATACATCCCAGTTGCACCTGGGGAGGCGCCAGCGGCGACTGCCACGCCAGCGACAGGATCAGCGCCAGCACCAACGGCAACGCCCGCGCCCGCGCCCGCGCCTGCGCCTGATGTTCCGCACAAGCCCGCACCATCGCCCTCGCCCTCGCCCTGCACGACGCTCGGGCCTGCTGCTACCGCTGCCGCTACCGCCTGCACTACCGCCGACTCTTCCGCCAGCGCCCCCGCGGTTAAGGCGCCTGAGCGGCCGCCTCCAGAGCCTACGGCTCCCGCGCTCGCGTCACTCCCTACGCAGGCCCCGGCCACGACCACAGCCACGGCCGCGGTCCTGGCGCCAGCCCCAGCCCCAGCCCAGGCACCGGCCGCGGTGGTGCCAGTCCGCGCCTCGCCGCCCGTGCATAGGGTGAGTTTCGCTGCCGGCCGCTAGCGCTTGCTTTCACGTCCGTGGCGAAAAAAATGACACCTAATACTAGAAGCATTATACGACAGGAAACGGTTCTCACACAGTAATTCTCTGAATACATAATTAGAGATTATTCTACAAATAATCTTTTAAAAGAGTTATTGTTGGCACATTCTTATTTCTTTGGCAATGGAAGTTCATTCTGTTTTCCAGAAAAATCGGATTCCTTATGTCTTCTCCAGTGAAATCAAGGCTGACAGGTCCACTTAAATGTTTTAACCCGTAGTATCTCTATCTCTTTCACGATGTGTAAGTGAAATAGAATCAGATAAAGATGGAGAAATGGGGTCCGTCAATGAAAGCGTTTTCGTACGAGAAGCGATCATGCAAAAACATACATGTCTATCGGGGAAAGAATTGAGTTAGCATTACAGCAATACTAATGACCGCCAGCTACATTTTCTGTCCTGATGTGGAGGAGGGAAATCAAATATAATTTTACTTGCAATCATACGATGTTTAGACAACATCCAATATGCCCACAGCGCTGTTGCAAACAATAAAGAACATGTCCAACCAATAAGGTGCCAAGATTAACGATTACGTGACTGCTCATGCCGCGGAGTTCATTCCGTCTGCGTAGTCTTTATAAAAACATATTTATTTATTAGAATATTGAGATATCTAGGACACAACAAATTTAAGTGATACGTACAACGACGTACTTAACATTAGAATTTTAAAGCGCATCAAGATTCAGAAAACAGTGAAAGGGAAGAAAATTGATAAGGACAAAGTTATCCCAGAGCAATGTTTTAGATTGAAGTTCGTCTTTGATGCTTGAGAAACGTGGTTTTTCATTAGCATATATGGTTCAATTAAGCCCTCAGCATATATCCCTTGCGGGGATATATATTATTGGCAAAGAGAGCTAATGTCAGCTATCGCCTGTTTCTCGCCCAAGAAATACCTTCTATCTCTGCTAGATGAAAGGAGCGTAGCTAAATTCGCGTGGTCAGACGGAAGAGCGGGCCTTATGGACCCGAGTCTCGCCACGTAAAATAAGGCAAATTCAATTCAATTCAACTCAATGTAGCATGTCTATTAATTGAACTTTTTGAGAGATAAACGGAGAGAATTCTTCAGATACTCATTAGCTGGATTGGTATCACTTTGTTCTTCATGGACTAATCACTGAAAATCAAACTGTACAGCATACCCAATAACTGTAAGAGAATTGTGATTGTTCAGACGATGACCATGGCTGGGATGTTTTTATTCTGAATTCTTTGTCATTTTTCTAGGGGTCAAAAATGGACAGAGAGGAACAGGCAGAGAGAGAGAGAGAGGGACAGGCAGACAGAGAGAGACAGACAGAGAGAGAGGGACAGACAGACAGAGAGAGAGGGACAGACAGACAGAGAGGGACAGACAGACAGAGAGGGACAGACAGACAGAGAGGGACAGACAGACAAACAGAGGGACAGACAGACAGAGAGGGACAGACAGACAAACAGAGGGACAGGCAGACAGAGAGGGACAGGCAGACAGAGAGGGACAGGCAGACAGAGAGGGACAGGCAGACAGAGAGGGACAGACAGACAGACAGAGGGACAGGCAGACAGAGAGGGACAGGCAGACAGAGGGAAAGGCAGGCAGAGAGGGACAGGCAGGCAGAGAGGGACAGGCAGACAAACGGAGATAGATAGACGTTAGACGGAGATAGATAGACAGAAGACGGAGATAGAGAGACAGAAGACGGAGAT